ATTACCACTTAAACGCGCCCCCCTCGCCCCTCCCCTGGACCCCTCCCTAGAGGGCTTCGCCCCACCAGAGCGTCATCACTCGTACCTCGCTCTTTCCGTTACCAGCGCCGATGCTGAATTGAACCTCCCAGAAAAGGCACCCCGAGGGAGGCCCCAATTGAGCAGGGACCGACCGTCCCGGCATTTCTATAGGCCTATCACGAAATTTTCTTAGAACCCAGAAGCGTTCCAGGAACACAAACAATGTTCTTAGAACATTGACCCGATGTGTTGAAACAGCACGGTCCCGGCCAGAAATGTTCGAAGAACATGTTGTTGAGACCACACCAGGTTCTTAGAACATGGTTTGGTGGGCCTATAGGCACGCCAGGACGCTTCGCCACTGCTTGAGCACTATATCGCAGACTCGACAGTAAAACAAGGCTAGGATCAGGATAAATCGCTCCAGAGCGTTCCGGAGCGCTCTCAGAGCGTTCCGGAACGCTCTGGAGCGGCCGTGGCGCCCAATACATCCTCCAAACCCGCCGATTCTCAGAGATTTCGAGTTATCCCGATCCGATTTTGTCCCGATGTTCGCGTCGTTTTAGACAGGCCGCCTCCCACGGCAGCTGCTGGCCCCCTTCTGGGGATGGGCCGGCCCGCAGCGAGGGGCTGGACGCCCCGAGGCCGGCATGCGCACCTGCGTGCACATGGCGGGGAGCCGATGTCCATCGGCGGCGAGCGGCGAGCGAGAAGGAGGAGGAGGAGGAGGAGGAAGAGGAGGAGGAGGAGGAGGAGGAAGAGGAGGAGGAGGGGAGGAGGAGGGGGAGGGGGAGGAGGAGGGGGGGGGAGGAGGGGGAGGAGAGACCTTCTCAGAAGGCTCGGAAGCCCCTCGGCCTTCTGAGAAGTTTCCTAAGCTTTCCCCGAAGACACACAAAATCGCAGAACGTCGGAAGGCTTCTCAGAAGTCCCGCTGGCTTCTGAGAAGGCATCCTCCTTCTCATGTCCCCCCTCGCTCGCGGCAGAGTCCCAGGACCCCATGCGGCAGTGGATGCGGGTGTGGGGGGGGGCGAAACCATTTGGTGTCTGTTCCATGGGCACCGACGTGGCCCCCAGAGCAGTCCGATGTGTCTGGTTTGGACCCGGACTTGGAACACATTTGGGACCGGACTTGGACAAGACTCGCCGCTTCACAAGGGAGACGAGAAGAACGAGGAGGGGGAGGAGGAGCAGGAGGGGCGACCAGGCGAGGAGGAGCACGAGGAAGGGCCACATTCGGTCCAGAGGCTGTCCAAACGCAGAACATAATGGTTCAGTGTCGCCGCCCAAGGCTTCCATGACTGGACATCGAAAAACCAACGTCAGTGACACACGCCGCCGTGGGGAAGCCATCATGATGGACCTGTTTTCCACTACCACCACAATATGTTGGAGGGGGAGGGGGTCCTCCTCTTTCTCCTCCTCCTCCTCCCCCTCCTCCTTCTCCTCCTTTTCGTCCTCCTCCTCCTCCTCGTCCTCCTCCTTCCTCCCTCCAACTGATGGTGGTGGTGGAAAACAAACCCATCACATCAGCGTGATACCGTTGAAAAGACACCGTGCCATCGGACGCCAACGCCAGAGCAGCACGCCGACGGGCCACCGCAGGGGCGGCGAGTCATGGACACACTGCTTCTCTCCTGTTTGTGGGTAAACCAAGAGATACTGAAGGCGTTCTCGTTCACCAGCCGTGGCGCCGGAGGTCTCCGAGGAGGCCTCAGAAGGTGAGAACGAGCAAGGGCAACGGTACCGATACCCTTTCCTCCTCACAGCTCTCGGTTCCTGGGGGGACTTGTGGCAGATGCATCCACGTCCGTGCCCTCAGCGAGGGTGGAGCATGCAACGGCAGGAGCCATCGATAGACAGCCACGCGTGAACCCTACCCCTGTTTCTGAACCACAGGCGGTGATTCAGAATTCGAAGGATTCCTGCAGCCAAGGCATGTTGGAGCAAGGGAAGGCGACACCCCTACCACCAGCCTGGGGAGGTCCTACTAATGGTGTGGTCCATCCACCCCCCCGCTTGAGACATCCGTTATCCTTGGACATGGCCCCTCTGGTGGTGGTGGTGGTGGTGTCGCTTCTCGTTCCTCGGGCCGAGGGAAGCCCAGTAAGGATATCCGATACCCCACCGCCGATGAAACCCCTGTGAGGGTATCCAAAACATCCCCACCGCGGAGGGATCCCTAGCAGTGCCGCAGGGTAAGGTTCGCAGGTGATCGCTGAGAGCGCGAGTCGAGCGCACGGACATAAGCAGCTAATTGCAGTCGCCACCCCTCTGCTCATTCCTCAGAATCCTGTTCCTGCCTCCGTTCCATCGCCCTCGGGAGATGGGGTCCTGGATGAGGCGGCGGAGCAACGGCTGGGTGCTGGCATCGACGAATGTGAACAGGTAGTACGGAAACCCCGAGGGGGCGAACAGGTACATCTCTACCTACCAACGTGTTTGCAATGACAGCACGAGCCTGCCGCCGAATGCTAATTTCGCGCTGGCCGCTGATGTCCACACGATCGACCCAACATCTATACGAAAGGCTTAGAAAAGAAGTCAAGACAGCCCCAAAACACCAGGCTGGCAGAAGCAAACAAACCTCCCTGCAAATTGACGTGGCGCGACGCGAGGGTCAGGACGGCAAGCCTAGCGAGCTTCCCTGAACCGACGCCATACATCGCGACCCTTCTCTCTCACATCACATCGTGATGATCGCCAATCGTTGTTAAATGCCATTAGCCGCTGCCCATATCGTCCCCCTCCCGAAGTTCATCCCTCTCGCGACTCCATGCCACAATACTGCGTGGGCCCAACACTGAATTCCAGCATGGCGGTAAACGGACCTTCACGCGCCAGACGTACGCCAGGCGTTGACGAGGAGATGCTGATGTAGCGTGCAAGTATCGCTACTTCCAGTCTGGCCGCTTCCCAAATCAGCAGGACAAGAAGATCCATCGCTGGGAGATCTGAGGTGCCTGCATAGATTGATTGGTAGCAGGCACTGTTCCAAGACAGCGCAAGCATCCACCATACAGCCCACTCACATGTTTATGCCATCATGCGCGGCCAAACAGGACATGGAACCACGCAGGGACTCACGCAGAAACATGTAACACAAGATGTATGAACCTAATACTCCCCTACAATCCTCACCTAGAACCGTCCACTCTTCTCCTTACCATATCTACGGCGCGCCAACCATCTCAATTCCTCGAGCAATATTAATCACAAAATCGCCGGCCCAACGGACCAGAGGCGTGCTAAGATCTCCGATAACAGGTTGAGAACACTTCTAGATCGCGCGCGGAGTGGCCCCTGGGGCCCCCCAGACCAAAAACACCCCAGCAAGGCACCCCCATCGATGCCGGACCCCCCCCGGGGCGGTCACCGGGACCCCTAAGAGCGCGCCGAGGGAACCAAACGGAGCTCCGAGCGAGCTCTCCAGTCGAGATCCGTGGGGAGCAGGCTCCAAAATTACCCCAAGAGTCCCAAGAGGCTTCAAAGTACTTCCAAAATGTCCCGAAACAGCCCCTGGAGGCCACCGAGGCCAAACCCAGTATGTCCCTCAGGGTTTTGAAGGATTTAGCAACTTGTTCCGTTTCCATCTTCCGACTGCTCAAGACGGCCCAAACGGCTCGCACGATCGCCCCAAGTCGACCAGAGAGGCTTGATTGACGGCCCCACAGGACGGCCCAGGAGGCCTCCCAAGAGGGTCCCAGAGGCTTCCAAAGGGCTCCAAAAAGGAGAATCCGAAGTGACATGTCGACCCCTTTCCCGAAAAATGACACCCGAGGCCGCCAGCAGGCCCACAAGTGGCCCCGCCCCAGAAACGCAAAAGAACCCCCCAAGAGGCACAGAGAGGCCCCCAAGAGAGTCCCCTTCGAGGTCCCAAAAACACTGCCGAGAGGGCTCCCAAAAAACTCCGAGGCCTCCAACAGAGGTGTCTTGTCCACGACCCAATGCGGCCCCACGAATGCCCCAAGAAACCATCGAGAGGTCTCATCCTCATCCTCATCCTCTCATCACTCCACCCCCTTCTCGCCTGCCACGTGCACACCAATATACAATATACAGCGCCAGTGACACAGTATGGGCCAGCTGGCGGGCCCCCTGCGGGCCCTCGCCGTGTTGAGCTTCGAGCGAAGATGCTGACATGAAGGTGAGAGCAGGAGGAGGAGGAGGCGGAGGAGGAGGAAGAAGAGGAGAAGGAGGAGGAGAGGAAACTGAGAAACATACCTCAAGGCATGCTAGGAGCGGCCTCGCGCATTCCGTCCATGGATTCTCCTGAGACAGATACAAATATGAATGACCGGCGCTTCCTGGACAACGAAAACCTCAATTCGGCACACCCCTCCCCTCACGCATGTCCTGCGCCCCCCAGGCCTTCGAGACACATAAGACACGAGGGAGAACAAGTCTCCGAATTCAGAGCCTCAGTTCGGCACACCCATCACGCACATCGTGCATCATGGGAGCTCAGCTGGCCCCAAAGACTGCTCCCTTGGGGCCTCAGATTGGCACACCCCTCACGCCTTCCGTTCCCCAGGGACCCTCAGCGGCGATCCGCTGGCCCTGAAGACGGCTGAAGTGAGCTTCGAGCCGGCGTACTCCTGACGCAATCCGTGCCTCCTGGACTTCCAGGGGTTCTCGGCTGACCCATCCGTCAGACGGTTCAGGGGAGCTTCGATTCGGAACACCCCTCACGCACTTCGTCGCTCATGGACCTCCAAAGGCCCTCCGTTGGCTTCGAAGACCGCCTGCCCCCCCCGAGGGTGAGCACTGTTTATCTTCCTCGGACCCTCGGGCCATTCAGATGGCTTCAGCATGATGCGAAACGAATAAGACGAAATTGGGCTCGATCGGGAAGGAAATCTGTTCACGCCTCCCGAGGACTGAGTACGCAATGCCACTCCTGCCCGAGCTGTTTCCCGAGCCTGGCCCAAGCCATCGCGCTGTTGACCTGGTATCGGGTTACGAAGCTACGCGTTTTCACGCTACAAACGCGAGCGCGTGCTGTCCGGCCCGGCAGCAGACCGTTCGGTCTTCCCCCGAAGCAAGAACTTTGTTAGGAGGTCGGCCAGCATCTCGTCAGTCCCCCTCCTGCGGAGATCAACATTGAGTCGATCGATGGCCTCTTGGGCCCAGAGCGACACCGTATCAGTGGGCTTCGTTTTGCCAACCCCGCCCCTCGACACCATGCCAATCGCAGCAGTCGCGTCGACATTGGCACCCAGCCTGTACGCCTTCCAATCCAACGCTAAAGAACACAAGCCGCACAGTTCTGACATCAAGGTCACCAACAAAAATAATACTCGGCCTCGCCGCGGCTCAAAGCTATGACAGACTGTCCCCGGCACCAGTGCAACAGGCAATGCGACCCAGCCAACGTACAACCTCCTGATGTGCTCTTGCGGGTACGAAGACAACCGGCATGGTCGGCGTCGCACCATCCCTCCAGAACGGTCGCCGCCTGCTGGTTCGGGAAAAGCTGCACTGACCGCGGCACGCCTTTTTAAATAGCGCGCGGTGTGCTTCAGAATGCCCACGTGCCTCTCGGTCGGGCACTTCGTGCCTTTCGCAAGCTCCCGGGCAGCCACTCCGAGGTCAGGGCGGTCCTGGGCGATGTGCGCCAAGCGCATGCACGAAGATCTGTACCACGTGCGCTCGTCTGCCGGGATCTCGACGTCGTCGACCTCGACGCTCTCCAGCTTCTCCTTCAGCCCTGGGGTCGCGAGCTTCACGCCAGCATGCCCCAGTCCAAGTTCGCGAACTATGATCTGCACGCGCCGTGGGTAACACTCCCACTTCATCCCGTCGGGTGTCCAACTGAGCAGGCGGTTCAGCGTGCGAATGCTCTGCGCTGTGTCGGGCTCGCATGGCGGCCCGTATACTTCTTCAACTTTAACGGCCCACTCCTTGCTGAGCTCCGGGTCGCGCAATGGATGCCAGACGGCGCGCGGGGGTGGCGTCCCCTGGCGGAGTCCCAACGACTTCATCTTGGAAACCACTAGCGTCTCCCACAACGCTGCGGCGTCGCGCGCGCCGTGCGTGGAACGAAGGAACCGGTAAACCATGTCGCCAGTGATGCCGCGCACCTGCTTGTAGTCTTCTGGCAGCTCCACGAACCAACTCCTTTCGGCCATGGCCCAGACATGCGCCTTCTTGACGTCCAGGAGCTGCAGCGCGCACTTCCCCTTCTTGGCGCGCGCCACGTCCCTCTGGGGAAACATTGCCGTCGCCGGCAAAGGAGCGGCTTGAGAGACGCCAGCGGTGGCATCGCAGCGAAATGCTGCCCCACCAAGCCCTGGTGCCGAATCTCCTTCGCAACCAATCTGCTGCGCACCTGCAAATCGACCTCGTCGCCCGCGTTGTCGTCGACCCACCTCGCGCCGATCGCCCTGTGGCCAGCAGGCCGCGGAACCACCCCCCAAAGGCCGGTACTGTCGATGAATTCCACGTTCTCCGCCCGCGCCTCCGGGCGAGATCCCTGGGCGACGCCTTGCCCGACAGATCATCTCTGCGTGCAAAATCCTCGAGGCCAACGAAGTGGTCGTCGTCCCACTCGGAAGGCTGATCGACAGGAACCGGGCACTCATCGCCCGATCCGCGAACAAACGCGATGACAAACCCTCTCACGCAGCGCCTCGACCAGCGCGCAGATCGCGTTCTATCTCGTCGTCCTCCCCGCCGTGGTCGATGAGGCGGGCCATCGTAGCAATCGTATCATGCCCCATCACATCGCCTCCCGCGGGTGGATCTCCTCGCTTTCGACCCTATCTGAATCCGCACGCATGGGAGGCAGCTGGCTCGGTGCCGAAGCCGCGCCCCCCCACCGCCTGGCCCTCCCGGTGCGCCGGGGGGCGCTGGCTCGATGCTGGCGACGTCCTCGCCGCCGCCCTACGCCCAGCGCCTTGGGGGTGACCTGTCGGCGCCTCGTCGGGCGCTCGCTTCTCGGCCTCCCGCGCACGCTACGCGATCAGTCTGGAGCCCCTGTCAGGGTCACTCGCCACGGCCGCCTATATACTCCAGCGGCATTCGGGCGCATGCAACGAACCCTGCCGAAGCGCCGTTAGAGCGCGGGCTAAACAGGCTGGGCGCCCTTCCGTGCCTCCGTATTTGTCAAAATCCGCTGACGCGACGCAATGCTTGCGCATGCCTTTCGCATGCTCGGCCGCCTCGGTGGGCACCTTCGGCGCCATTGGGCTGTGTGGCGGCAGCTCGGCAGCACCTGGGACATCCAATGTCCGCTGGTCGTCGCGCCCATCAGGCGCGGGCTCCCAAGGTAGACCTCTGAGTTTTGACAACGCCTCGCCGTTGTAACGCTGGTTTTCCGGCAGGCGCCGCGAAGACGCCGCGGCCCTAGCCCGCGGTCTTCTCCGCGCTCTCCACCTTCACGCCATGGAACGACCCACGTTCCCAGCGCGCCTCCAGCTTGTGCCGCGTGCGTTTCTGGAACGCCATGCTCTCGCCGAAAGCTTGTAATGGCACCTGTCACACCTTGCCCTGTGCCCGCTGGAACGGCGCCATGCCGTCCTCCCCGCGGGTGTAAATGTAGCGCAGGTGAACTGGACCCTCCACGTGCTCCTCGAGCGTTCGCGCCCGGCCATGGATGCTCTGGGCAGCGCGCTCGGCCCCCCCATTGGACGCCTGCTCGCACATGAGAGGCCTCTCGATGACGACCTCGCCAGCCCAGATCTCCTTCTCCTCCCGAACAACAACCGTGATCGAATTCTCCTGGTCGCCTTTGACGTTCACCCTCTCGCACGCAGGCCGGCCCAAATCTGCGGCCAAGACCTTCGCCGGACATAGGCTCGCGACGCCGTCTTTCCCCGATCCCCCGCGCGGGTTTGGGCGTGCAAACGGGCACTTCGCCTTGAGATCGTGCCCGGCCAGCGCCGGCAGTTCCTTGCCTACCGCCGCCTCGAAAGGCACTTCCCCAGGGACCCCGAAGAAGCCGTAGTCGACCGAGTGCGTACTGTGAACCTCTCGGCTCTTGTCTTGCTTGAAGTGGGGGCGCGTCTTCGCCCGCCCCCGCGCGCAGGCCGCGCGCCGCGACATCGCTGGAAGATGCGATGCCACGTGGTCTTCAATCATCTTCAGCATGAGTTTCGGAGGCGCAGTCATCCGCCCACCATCCGCCGGGGGCTGCAAGCACGATGCCGCAACCGATCCCCTTCGAGGCGCGCCCGCCGACCCCGTGTCTACCACCGCGTCCTCGCCGATGATGGGATACATGACTGGGGTCGGTCTAGCAGCTAAGCAAGCCGCGTGACACCCTGCGCACGGTGCCGATCCGGCTTCTCGACCCAGGCCAGTAGCACGTAGATGCCGTCCTTCTCGAAGATCTCCATGGTCTGGCCCGTCTGGTAATGAAAACTGCCGCCGCCGCCATTCTCCTCCGAATCGAACCAGACGCAACTACCGTACTTCGCCATCTTCGACGCAGAGCTCAGCGAATGTCTCCAACTTCCCATCTGGTTTTAATATCGATTTCAGACACGAAGCCGCCAACCAATTTCCCCCCCGCCCTTCTGCACCACATGCTTGGGCGCCGTCTTCCACGACCGAGGCTCACCGCCGACCTTCAAAGGATGATCCTTGGCCGCGTGCAGCGGCAGCATGCTCGTCGAAGCGCCCGAATCGACGGCGACGCGGATCCTCTCGCGCCCCTCGCGCTGCTACGTCCGCGAAGACTCCTCGGCAGAGACCTCCGGCCAAGCGTCAAAAGCATTCAGCTCCCCATGGGACTTCCACCAGGGACCGCGGCTCGATTGCGAAGCCATGCTGCCCCAGGGCCCTCGTTTCTCGGCTCTCCCCGCCAAGGAGCGCCCCAAGAAGTACGACCCGAAACTTCCCAGAGCGCTGGATCGGGCCAGGTCTGGGGGGACGCCCGCCCGTCGCCGTGCTCGTGCTGGAGCTGGTCGTTCTCGCGCTGGGCCTTAGCCTCCGCTCGCTTGCTGCTGTAGGTTTTCCTCGTGGCCTCCTTGTTCGAATAGTCCGCCTGCCTGCGCTCTCAGTGCAACTCCGACTACTCCCTCTGTCTTCCCACTGGTCTTCTTCTGCTGATCATGCTCCTCCATTGCCTCTGCTTCTCCTCTGCGCACGGTCCTCCTGCTTCTCTCACCTGTCTCTCCTCTGGTTATACTCCTCCTCCTCCTCCTCCTCTGCTCTCTTGCCGGCGCTCCTCTGCATCCGCCCCCCCTGGCGGTGGCACCTGGGGCAGTGTCGTCAGCCGCGCGAAAGATCCATGCCGAAAGCCGCGCGCTTGCCACGAGGGCTCGCGCGTCGGTGGCTCGACGCCGAAGCCGCGGCCGCAACCCTCTGGCCGCGGCGCGGCTCGATATCGCAGCCGCGCCCTCGTTGGGCGCACCCTCCCCCTTGCGGTCCTCGCGGGGCTGACGGGCGCCCGCGTCGTGGAGCTAGTGCCCTTGGCTTCCTCGCCTCGCCCTCTTTACTCTCCTGGCCCTCCTTCTCCTGGCGCTCCTGTCGACGGTTCTTCTCCTCGTATTCATCGCCCTCTTCGCGCGTCTTCCGTCTTCTCCTCCTCGGGACAGGGGTCGACGCCCTAACGGCGATATCGGCCCACGTCTCCCTCTTCGGTAACGGACTGCACGGGGGGAAGAGGGCGACGCGCTCCTGCTCGACGTCCTTTGAGACGATTGGGACGACGACGTCGACGACCCACTGGCCTGCTGCTCGGGGCCGCGCTCCACCACGAACAGCGAGCCCACCTCGCCTCCAGCACCCAGCGCGCCCTCTTGCGTGTTGGCCTCGGAGGGTTCGCGCGACCCACCGCCTCGACCTCCACCTCGAGCACCTTTGGGCGTGCCTGCGGGCTCGCCGCCCTTGGGATCGCTCTGGCCGCCCGGCTCCCTAGGCGGGAGCTGCTGACCATTGGCGTCGGTCCTGCTGCAGCAGTCGGCGCGCTTGTGGCCCCAGCGCCAGCACCAGCCGCAGCATCCTTGGAACTGCTGCTGTCCGCGCCCAGCCGATTGGCCATCGCCGCCGCCACCGTCTTTCCCTTTGCCTTTGCCACCGTCCTCGGCTTTACCCTTGCCCTTGCCCTTGGGCGCCCCTTTGGGCCCAATGCTACCGATCTCCATCGGCGTCGGCCCATTCCTGGCGACAGTCTGCTCCACGTAGCGCTCTATCTCTTGCTTCAGCAACTCGTAGGTCAGCAGGCGGCTCACGCTGAGGTCCAGGTGGTTGCTCAGCACGTCAGGGCACATCGACTGAGGCGTGCCCGCTTCAATGAGTCACTGAGCTCCTCGTTGGCGCGCTCATTGAAAGACATGTAGTGCTGTTCCCACTGCTCGATGGCGCTGAGCAGCTGGTCTGTGGAGACCTGCGCAGGGCGCAAGATCTTCCGGAGTTTCCGAAGGTTGGCGCTTGGATTCCTAGAGTCGTAGTTCTTGTTCAGCTGCCGCCAGCCATCCAAACCGGATGTCTTGCGAGTGTTGTTGATGATGTCGAAGGCCGTCGTGCCGTCCGTCATGAAGGACGTGAGGATCGCGTGTAGTTCCCTGTTGAGCTCAACGACCTTGAAGAACTCGTCCACGATGTCATCGATCCTGTCGTCGGTAATGGTGGCCGCGCCTCGGCGGCGGCCCACTCCAGCACCTCCTCGGCATGCCCGCAATTGGAGGCCAACAAGGTGACGAACTTGTACGCCCAGTCTGCCCAGTCGCTCTCCTTCCCACTGAAGGTCGCTGGCTTCTGGACGGGCCTGCTGTCAACCATGCCCTCGCGCCTCCTTGAGGCGCCCTCCGCCTTCAGGAAGTCGGCGTTCTGTTGCACCGCCGCCTGCAGAGCCCCACTCTGCTCCTGCAGCTGCCTGGCCAGTCCGGCCATGGTTTCGTCAGCCTGTTAGGCAGCTACCATGGCGGCCTGCTGCTGCCTCAGCGTGTCGCTCATCTGCGAAAAAGCGGCGAGCACCTGCTGTTCGTTCATGCCGCCTCGTTGGACGTAGGCGCGAAGCTCGATCCCGAAACCTCGCCTCCGAGCTCGCGCACCTCAAGCGCAAACTCCCGTCCCGCGGCCGCGCGCGGGAATGGAGCGAGTCGTGGGGATGACCCGCTCCGCTACAATGAACACTTTTTACCTCCCTCGGACCATTCAGATGGCTTCAGCATAGTGTGAAACGGAGAAGACGAATTTGGGCTCGATCGGAAGGGAAACCTGTTCAGAGGGACGCCAAGATGGCACTGAGAAAAAATGCAACGAGTAGAACAAATCCTCAATGAAACCGCACCCCGAACACCCACTGATCGCAACATCTGCAAGCGTGTTTCCCTCTGGGGGGCTGCCAGGACCCTACGAAAGAATGAGGGTTGCGCAGTTCGCAACCCCCAAAAGAATCGCGAGGTCCCCAAATGATCCGCGTGGTCCCGCACTCCGGTGGAGCTCCCAGGCGTGCTCCGCTGGAGCTCCCAGGAGCCCACGAAAGAGGCAACGGCTGCGCAATTCGCAGCCTCCCAGGGAGGCTGCACAAGAGGAGGCAGGGTGTAGGAATCCGAAGGAAGAAGGAGGGGACGGAAAGGAATGGATACCACAGTGACTATTCAAAGCGGGAACCCAACACAAAAAGGTTGGGCGAACGATTGCGACGACCGTTCGCCGGAGCCGCTAAACGAGTGTGGGGCACCGCGCGTGCTGAGCTGAAACTTTCCTCGTCGCCCAGAAGTTGGAGGGGGAAGCAGCATATCACCTCCCCGAACCCCGACAGAAGTAGCCATCGTGCTACCACATGGAATGCTCAGGAAGGAACGAAGGCAGGGCTGGACCTAAACGGTGTTTTTCGTTTTCGTTTTGTCTTCGTTTTCCCTCGCTCTTGTCTCGAATCCCCCTCTACGGCAAAACGGAGTCGAAACGAAAACGGCCCACGAGATTGCCAAACAACACCGTTCAGGTCCCGCCCCGAACGAAGGGGGCCGCCCTGACCAAGGCGAGCCTCGGCCACGAACGGGCTCCTCGATCCAGCTCCCGAGAGAGGCCCCCGAAAAACCAGGGCACCGTCTGCGCCCAACGTTGTCCTTCTGCGCCTGTGAGCCAGCAGCACGGCGCAGATGCGTGGTTGATGCTGCGTCTCTACCTCCCCCCTCCTGCTCCTCCTCCTCCTCCTCCTCCTCCTCCTCCTCCTCCTCCCGCCCCTCCTCCCCCTCCCCGCTCTGAAGCAACGCGTGGTGCGAGTTAAGAGGCAACCGACGTGCAGCCGCTCCCGCAACGCGGTGAGTTTTGCTTGGCGTTGGCCTCTTTTGCCCACACGCTCTGGCGTATGGCATTTCGTTCGTTCGTTCAGCGTATTGACTGTCGAGGGTGACGGCGGCCAGCGGCGCTCGAGAAGGAGAAGACGACGGCGGCGCTAATGACGACGGCCACGGAGACGGGCGGTGGCGCCAGGGGGGCGCCAGGGGGGCGCCCGCCTGCAAGAAGCGCGCGAGCGTGGTGGCGAGCGGCTCGTCCCCGCCGCCGAAATCGTCGCTGTACGGAATGGCCCGGGGGGAGGCGACGCATGCAGACCAGATGGAGTCGAAGCAATTGGGGGTCGTGACGCATCGCCGATGCATCGGCGCATCGGCGGGGAGAAACCAGATGGGGTCGAAGAAGATGGGGTCTGAGGACCGCGCCGCATCGCCGATGTATCGCCGATGCATTGGCGACGTCGGCGGCGCCGCCCTCCAACTCTGGAGACCTCTGGGGACCTCTGGTGACCTCCCGGAGAGGAGTGCGAGAGAGGAGGAGGAGGAGCAGGAGGAGGAGGAGGCGGAGGAGGATGGCAGCAATGACGGCACGTGCAGTGGCGACGATACCTGTTAGATGACAATCGGGCATGATGTGCTGGCAACCTCTCCATCGGACTGAATGGTGTGAACATCTTGCTAGAGAGCGCATGCTTGTCAAAACCTGTGGAAGTGGCGGACTCCTGCTGGGGTCGAACAGGCCTGTCGAATGAAGTTCAGCGGAAGGCCTCCTGCTCGAAGCGGCTGCCTGACGGCAACCATGTGTTGTGATGGCTGCTAGGTTTGCCAGCCTGTCGAATCCCGCTAGAGTTGTGGGTGCCACGACAATGGACACCCTGACAGTCCTATCCTTGAATTTTAAATGTGTTTAACATTTCGGAACATGCATGTTTAAAACATGTTTAACACATGCTTTAGACATCTGAAAATCATTTGGCAACGTGCTTCCTCTCCATAGGCCGTCCTCCACAATGCTATTTGATTGCTGCTAGGTTTGCCAGCCTGTCGAATCCCGCTAGAGTTGCGCGTGCTTGAGCGTGGTCTGATCGAGCTTCGACGGCTGTGCAGGGCGACACCATATTCGTTTGGCTTGGTGTACGGTGCTGCGGCGGGCCCGGAGGCTGCTACTCCAAGATCCACCGCACCACACTGGGCCGAGCACCGCCCCCGCCTCTTCTTGTGGCCTACTCTTAAGTCGGGCCTGTCCTCGTACAGGGGGATGTTGGAAGAAATATACAACATAGTCATCACATACCACAAAATGGTCAATGAATATTCAGAACTTCGTCCCCAGACTATTTCCCAACCATCCTGTGGTGTTGGGTCCTCGTTTTGAAGAGACGGTGCCCCGCGTCTCGCCTTCCTTCCTTCCTCCTCCCCCTCCTCCCTCCTCCCTCCTCCCCCTCCTCCCCCTCCGTGCCTTTGCCCTCGGCACACCTCTCACACCTCTCGTAGCCCCATAGGGAGCTCCACCGAAGGTCCCAGTGGCACAGCCCGCATGCGCCCGCCACACCCAGCACAGCGCTTCGTGGCTCCATAGGGAGCTCCACTGAAGGCCCAAATAGGGGGGGGGGGGCGCATGCGTCCGCCACACACAGCACAGCGCTTCGTGGCCCCATAGGGAGCTCCACCGAAGGCCCCAGTGGAGGGGGGCGCATGCGCCCGCCACACCCAGCACAGCGCTTCGTGGCCCCATAGGGAACTCCACCGAAGGCCCCAATTGTGGGGGGGCGCGTGCGTCCGCCACACCCAGCACAGCGCTTCTGGCCCCATAGGGAGCTCCACCGAAAGCCCCATTGGGGGGGGGGCGCATGCGTCCGCCACACCCAGCACAGCGCTTCGTGGCCCCATAGGGAGCTCCACCGAAGGCCCCAATGTGGGGGGGGGCGCATGCGCCCGCCACACCCAGCACAGCGCCTTCGTGGCCCCATAGGGAGCTCCACCGAAGGCCCCCATTGTGGGGGGGGTGCGTCCGCCACACCCAGCACACGCTACGCCACACCCACACAGCGCTTCGTTAGGGAGCTCCACCGAAGGCCCCAGTGGGAGGGGGGGGGGGGGGGGGCACACCCAGCACAGCGCTTTGTGGCCCCATAGGGAGCTCCACCGAAGGTCCCAGTGGGGGGGGGCGCATGCGTCCGCCACACCCAGCACGGCGTTTCGTGGCACCATAGGGAGCTCCACCGAAGGCCCCAGTGGAGGGAGGCGCATGCGTCCGCCACACCCAGCACGGCTTTTCGTGGCCCCGTAGGGAGCTCCACCGAAGGCCCCAGTGGGGGGGTCGCATGCGTCCGCCACACCCAGCACAGCGTTTCGTGGCCCCATAGGGAGCTCCACCGAATGCGTGGCTCACAAAGACGGTACTCACAACTGCATATGGTTGGGTCCTTCGCCAGGCTATTTGTTCCAACTATTTTTGAATATTCCTCCTGTAGAGGGACAGGCCCGACTTAAGCCTACTACTAGGCGCTGGCCACCCCAATAGCAACAGCCTCGGACTGGGGGTGGCATCCCCGAAGAGCGCCACGAACTCCGACTTCCTTTGTGCACCTGCGACGCCAGGCCGCACGCAGGTTCCGCGTCGACGGGATCGACGTCGACGCGGAGCTGGAGGCGGCGCCCCTCGACGACCAGCACCGAAGGTGCAGCCGAAGCCCCAGCTCCCCGCGTGCTCACGCCGTCATGGGGAGGGGGTGAGCTTGCCGCCAGCGCTCCCACGTCGTCGGGCTGGCGCCCCCCCCCTCCAGGCGATCCTAAACTTTTGTTGCTGCTTTCAGTCAGCAGACAAAACCGATTCAAAGTTGACGAGTTTGTATTTGTTGGAATAGCGAGCCCCCGCTCCTGTAATAAGTTTGGTGGTGGACTCGCCTCGGGGCCAGTGGCCCCGCTGGCCGGTCAGCGCCGTCGATGGCCCCCTCAGGGAAGTGTTCGGCGATCTGTGAGTCCGTAGGCGGACTCGAAATTTCTCTCTCCATCTCCCGAACGATAGGCCCCGGGGGCCCGATCGACGACCACGAAGGCACTCTCAAGCGCGACAGTGGTCGAAGAAACACACCAGGCCCCGTGGAGGCCAGAAAGAGTTTAGATCCTGCGAAAGCGCAACAGTATCGCAAAGCCTACGTATAATGTTGTGGATGCCATGACAATGGACACTCCAACAATTCTACCATTGAGTTAAACATGTGTTGAACATGTGTAGAAAATGTTACAAAAATGCTTTAAACGTGTTTTGTTTGAACATATTTGGAACATGTGTGAAACACATGTTTAAACTTCTGGATATTATTTCGCAGCATGTTTCCTCTACTTCCAGAAGTATAAAGGTAAAATACAGATTTCATATAATAGGTCGGCCCTGTTGAGACAAGAAAACATTTAGATCATGAGAAAGCGCAAGGGTAACGCAAAACCTCCGCATAAAGATCTCAAGAAAGATTTCAAGGAATCGGTCGGTCCAGTGGGCCCTACCCGACTGGGCCCTTTTGGGGGTCGCCGACAAGGCTGCGCGGGCGCTCGCGCAGCCTTGCCCGCTCCCGCGATCCGACGGGCCCCGCGGAACCGAAGGCCAAGTGCCGCTCGGCGCCTCTCGGGTTTTCCGTGCGGGTCGGTGGCGAGTCGGGCAAACGTTGAGATGGCCGGCCGAGGTTTTGGAAGCCCGGAATGGGTACGGAAAAAATGGGTACGATGCCCAACAACAAATGTTGTCCCAAACCAACAGCGGCCGTTGTTGGGCAGGCGAACTTCTTTTCGAATGGACACAGGCTGCGGTGGCGCGGTCAGCGAGTCCTGTTCAAAATGAAAACGAACTGCTGTTGGGCATTGTACCCATTCTTTCCGTACCCATTTCCTTCGTGCAGGGAGGTGCGATGCAAAACCCAGTCGGTTGCTGTTTCTCGAACGGGGCCTGGCAGCAACAGCTGAGGCGCGTGATCTTGTACTGCTGTTTGCCCCCTGATTCAAGAGAGCAGGGGGGAGCATGTGGGGGATGGCAGGGATCAGATGAAAAGGACCCTGGGACATACACACACACACACACACACACACACACACACACACACACACACACACACACACACGCATACACACAAAAATACACACAACTAACCGCATTCCCCATATCTTCTGGGTGTTTGTCTTCCCCCCACTTCCCATACTGCTCCATATGTTTCCACACAAATGCACACAACTAACCGCATTCCCCATATCTTCTGGGTGTTTGTCTTCCCCCCCGCTTCCCATATTGCTCCATATTTTTCTGGGGATCGGCGATTACCTGTGTCTGTGTTTTTTTTTTCCCTCCTGATCGGAGGGGGGCGCCGCCCTCGCTCCGCCGCCCGCGGGACCGGGGGGGCCCGCGGCAGGCGGACGCTGCAGAGGAGCGCCTGGAGCGAGCGCCGCAGCAGGACTCCGCATGGGGGTACTCCAGATTTCGTAATAAAAGGGAGGGGGGTCCTCATTTCGGGGGGGGGGGGGTCTCTTCCAGGCTCTCTTGGAGGGCCTCGGGGGGTCTGGGGACGATGTTTTGGAGGGGTCTCCCACGAGGGGTCTGAAATGGCTTGTTTTGGAGGGTCCAGACCCCCTCCCTTTTATTACGAAATCTGGGGTATCGCTTCTTGGGCGCGGACGACTGGGGTGGCGGCAAGTCGGGTTAGGTCGGGCCTGCCCCCCTACAGGGGGACCTTAGACGAAAAATAATAGATAGTCAAACAATATTCAAAAGGATTCGAAACTAGTAAACATAATGGTTCCCAGACTATTTTTCTTACTATTGTTCAATGTCCCTCCTGTAGAGGGACAGGCCCCACTTAAAATTAGGGAGTGGGGGAGAAAGGTGCTCCTCTCGGGGGCTGAAGGCCCCCTTTGGAGCCCTGAAGTGCCCCTTCAAAGGGGCCCTGAAGGGCACCTTTCTGCAGCACTCGCTGCCCCCCCCCCCCGCCGTATCGCCCCCCCTCCCTCCCCCATTGCCCCTGAAAGGGACAATGGGGGACGGAGTGCTGCAGAAAAGGGCCCTGAAGGGCCCCTTTCTGCAGCACTCGCTGCCCCCCCCTCCCCCCGCCATATCGCACCCCCTCCCTCCCCCATTGCGCGCGCCCTCCAGGCTTCCGCCCCGGCTCTGGTGCCGGAAGCGTTGCAATTTCCTCAGATGTTGTGGATGCCACGACAATGGACACCCTAACAGTCCTATCATTGAATTAAAAATGTGTTGAAAATGTTTGAACAATGCCCTGTCTCAAACATGTGTTTCACATGTTTGAGACATGTTTGACGCATGTTTTCGACATCTGGAAACTACTTGGCAGCATGCTTCCTCTCCATGGATCGTCCTCCACAACTCTGATGTTGGGGGGCGCCGATTGCTTCTCAGGGTTGCCTGCGCCCCGATCGCCTCCCCCCGAGATGGTCCCCACCTGCACCTGGCTCGCCCCCGCCCGGCGCGCCAGCTCCTCGGGGCACCACCTCTGCCGGTCCAGCAGACGCTCCGCCCCGCCGCGCAGCAACAGCGGGCGGCGGACGGTGGCAAAGTCCCGCACGAAGCCGCGGGCCCCCCCCCCCCAGCAGGAGGCGCGCTGGTCGGTCCGACTTGCCTCCGGGAACCGCTCGGCGTGGGACGTCCCAGCCCCGCGGAGACGCGAGCATAGACGAGACGAGCACTGAAGTCGCAGGTGACCCGCTGCAGGTTGGTGGGAGCACAACGGAGGTAGCAAGGCTGCAAAGAGGGATGGGACCTTGGAACGTGAAGCGCACGTGGGCCGAGAAGGGGGAACACTGGCAGGTGGGGCACGAGCAGGAGGATGAGGGGGGCGCTCAAGTGACGTACGACCCGCAAAGAAAGGCAATGACGCGCAAGAGTCAGGGCTTCGAGCCTCGCCGCTGGTGGGCTCCACGCGGGAGCGCACCGCGAAGGATGCGACGACGACGATGCCCGAAAACGGCAGAAGCGCGTGGGGCGTCGGAGCGCCGCCAGGGCAGATCAGAGCGCCACCGGCGGCGGCAGCTCCATGACAGCAGGCTCCGCCTCGTCGCAGCACGCGCCCCCTCCGCGCACCTCCCGCCGCCAGGGCGCAGGGCGCCCGGCCGCCCACAACCGCCCGCGGAGCGGTGGCGCGTCCCGCGGCGCGGCGCACGAGGCTGACCGGCGCCGCCGCAGGCCGAGCAAGCGCGCCACGCCGCGGGGGCGGGTCGGACGACGCCCACCGTGCACCGGACCAGCTCCCTAATTACGCGCTCCCGCGCGTGGTGGCACGCGCGGCAGGGCGTGCATCGAGCTGGCCTGGCACACGGTGGGGCGTCGTCCAGGCTGTGGCCCCACGCGTCCCTCGCCGAGGGGTCTGCGCCCGCGCGCAGCAACTGCCCCGCCACGCGCAGCTCCTGCTGGATCACGGCGCAATGCAGCGCCGTCCGCCCGGCGGCGTCGGCGCGGCGCGCGTCCGCGCGGGCCGCGAGCAGCGCGCGCACCTGGGAGGGCGCCAAGTGCACACCCTGCACCAGTCCTGGCCGGGCCCACCCTGGGCCCGAGCACCCCTCGGGTCACGAAACAACCACGGCGCGAGGCATTTGGCAATTTTCGGCTTCAGGGGGCCCTCGACGGGCCCCAGGGCCGTCAACGAAATGACCCAGGATGATCCCTGGACATGGGTGAAGGGGCCCGGGGAGACACAAATAAGTAGACACATATAGCAGGATTCCCCATATTTTCATACATTGTTTGGTTTTCCATACATTCCCCTGGTTTTTGTTGTCTTCCCCCCACATTTCCTCTATTTTCCAATATTTTCTGGGGAATCGAAGATTTAATCGTGTCTGTGTGTTTTTTCCCCTCCTGAATGGGGTGGCCCAGGATCGGTGCACGCGCCGTCCTGGCTCGGCCATCGATGCGGGGCCCAGGTCCGACCTGGCCGGGCCAGGCTCGGTGCAGGTGTGTACAGCTGGGGGGGAACCAGAAGACACCGCTACCGTTCCTCCCCAGACCTCTGCCGGGGTGCGGCCTGCCCAGTAGATCGAGGCGTGGCGACGTGGGCCTCCCAGGCCGCCCAAAGAAACAACCGAGCGAAGGTCACGGTATCGTTGTGGATGCCATGACAATGGGCTCTCCAACAATCCTGCCGTTGAATTAAACATGTGTTCAAACTGTGTAAAAAAAGTGCTAAACAATAATTCAAAACATGTTTTACATATAAACATATTTGAAACATGTTTTAGACATCCGGAAATTATTTGACAGCAAGCGTCCCCTCCATTAATCGCCTTCCACAAAACTGGGGGGGAACCTGAAGACACCGATACCGCTTCTCCCCTGACCTCTGCTGGGGTGCGTTCTGCCCAGTCTATCGAGGCGTGGCGACGAGTGTGTGTGTGTGTGTATATATAGGGAGACGACCGAGGGGTCGATCCTGTACGGGTGTCCGCAGGTAGAGGCAAAGAAAGGGGAAGGGGAATGAACTCCTTTTCCTGGGCGCTGCGCAGAGGGCAGCGCTCTGCGTCTGTGTTGCCAATACCTGAGCCGACACAGCAGCGGCATTTGACGATAGAATGGGGATGCGAGCGGACTTCACACACAACGAAGGCCTTCCAGGCCGCTCAAAGAAAAGAGCTGAGCGAATCAGCGCCCCTCAAACGGGGACTCCACTAACGGGTACTTTGGCCAGTGACCCAGCGAACCCAACCCTTCCCGATGTGGGCAACGCTGCAATGCCAAAAAAAGGCCCTAAAGTGACAACTTCCGGCATAATTTCAAAGTACCCGTTAGTAAGTACCCGTTACGGTGCCGCTGAGCGAAGGTCACGGTGTCGGTGCCGGACAGTTGGCGCCCTCCGAACACCGCCGCGGAGCAGCCCTCAGCCGCCAGGCACATCAGCGGCGTGCGGCGGGCACCGCCGGGCGCGCCTGCGGCGTCGCAGCCGCCGCCGTCGGGGTCTGCGCGAGCGCGCAGCAGCGCCCGCAGCTGCCGCAGCAGCGCGGGCTCGTAGGCGGCGCGGGCAGCGGCGGCGGTCCTCAAGGTTAGGAGGCAACTACTGGGAGGTCTTCGTCAGAAGAACTCAAGAGGATTAGGCCCCACTGTTGCGCCGGAATGGGCCTCGGATTGAGCCGGATTAAGAGGGATGAAGCGGGATTGAGCGGGATTAAGCCGGACTTCGGACCAGGGCAAAATCAGAATTTGACCTCCCAGGAGTTGCATCCGAATTAAGGGGCGCAGAGGGATCCCAAATAATCAGCACAAACTCAAAGATTTCCAATATTGGGCTACTTTCCTGAACTTTCCCATTCTCCTCCGGTTCCGCTTCAAATCCACCTTTCTTTACGTGTGTGTGAGAGAGAAGTGTCTGTTTGTCCCTCGTGAGGTCCAGTGCCCGCGGTCGAGCTGTCCTCGGCAGGGGCCCTCGCCACTCCCGTCGAAGCCGCCGATCGCCGCCGATCGATCGCGCCGTCGCCAGTCGCCCCTACAGTCGGGGCGTTGACCTAAGGAACCCTAAATAAGGAACGAGGCCCCTTTTTTCCATAAGTTAAACTTCGATTTCCTATCGAGAACATGAGGAAAACCTGAGGCAAGCTGTGAAACACTTAAGGAACGCGGAGCCCCTCCCCAACCAAAAGGGTTCCTTCTTCAGGGCCCCGACTGTATTGCCGACACGGCCGCGCGGACCGCGACCCGCCGGCGGCCGCGCAACAGCCCCGATGACCGGGGTGACCCCCTCGCGCCGTGGGAAGGTCACGGCGGATGGTCGACCAGCAACGTTTTCGGCCTCCAGGGTCCGTCGCCCGACCCAGGGCCGTGCAGAGTGAAAAACCAGTCCGTGGCCCAGATCCTCGGATACCATTTTTCGGACGCGACCGACACGATCGGTCACTGCCGATGTTGCAGCAAAGTCTAACCACCGTTGTGACCGACTTGTTCCAGAATCGCTCGCGACTGGTCGCGCCCGCTGTTGGAATCGGTCTTGATTGGTCGCGACCGACTGGGGTTTCCGATCGGTCGCTACAAATCGCGATCCAATGATCGGGGCCGGGGGGGGTGGGACGGAGCCTCCAGGGGCCCGCAAGGTGGCAAAGGCACGGCGTGGGAGGCCTGGGCAGGGAGAGGGGAACAGTGCGCCCGAGGCCCAGGCTCACGCGGTGCCCACATTCCACCCTCTTGATCCGATCCCTTCGCCCTCCCTCCCATGCCCGCATCTAAACCCTGACTACGTACCGAACCACCCCAGACCAATCCAGAGTCGCCCTTGGTTCCGGAACATTGGGGAAACATAGTGGAACCCGTACACCCCCAAGCCCGGACCTTGGCGGATCTGGGATCTTCGGGATGGGTGGGGGCGGTCTGGTTTTCCGTTCTTCCGTTCCTTCGCTGGCCCCTGCTCCCTCACTTCTACCAAAAGGTGGGGATGACGACAATAGTCGCCCGCCTTCTATCAGAGAACACCAGCAGCGGTCCGTGCCATGTACAGGTGCGCCACGCAACGAACACGAACATACGCGCAATTTTGTTCGCGCCCCTGGGGGTGAACTGCGCCAACCACCGCATCCAAAGACGCACTCATTGTCTGCGCAGGCCTGGGATCTCAGATGCGAAAAAGGGGGTCCCGTCCAGCAGGCGGCCGCATGCCGTACTCCGCGCACAGCTCGCCGATCCGCTGCGGAGATTCCTGCAGTGTGCCCGCCGCGAACGACAACGTCAGCAGGCGGCCGGCTCAGTGATGATGGCGGAACATCTGGCTGCAATGGGCCATACGTCGCCGATGGATCGGCGGTCGGCCCCCGACTGCGAATCGAACCTGGGCAGCGTGGGCTCCAGAACCACGATCGATGATGAGTGGGCGATGATGCGGGGACGATGCGACCCCTCTGGGCGTATCCCCCACCAGCCTCCGAGACCAGCTGGCGCTGGAGGGAGCCAGCCGTAGAGAGTCCGAAGGGGATACACCACAGGCGCGACAACGACGGCGGCGATGAAAAAGGCGGCGAAGACGGCGCGTCAATATCCCGAGGCACATTTTCGGTCGTGTGCGCGACTGAGACGCGGCCATGCCTGCGATCGGGCAAGGAGAGAAGGGGTGCGGGGGCCCAGACGAAGCGAGGGAAGACCGAGCGGTCCCGATGCGAGTCTACCCGGGGTGGCACTGGCCCAGCGTGGTTTCAAGTTTCCAGGGTAGCCTTGGCCTTGGGATCCGACGGTGCGAACGAACTGCGCCATAGCGAAACATCACGCCCGGAGCCCTAGATCAAACTGTGGTTTCCTGCTTAGCCATCGCATGCAGCGACGACTGAGTTCTACGAGTTCGACTCATTCAACTCATTCAACACGTCCCAAGCACGTCTCAACGAAGTCAACTGCGGTGCAAAACCATGTAATGCACCTAAAGCTACGTCGAACAACTTTCAAGTGCTTGGTAAGCTGCAAACCCAACTAACACTACGCATTCGAATCACCAACGAAGTCTAGCGTCCGCGAGCCCAAGCAACGCAAGCACATTCACAAACTCATGTAGTCACACACAGCAGCCCCAGCAAACATAGCTACGTACTCCGAAAGCCCCCAGGAAGCGCCCAAAGGCCCCCGAAGGGCCCCGAGGAGGCCAAGAACCCCCCAGCAAACCTTGAAGAGGCCGCCAACAGCGCTTCAGGATGCCCCAGGGGGCTTGGACGCACCCCGAAACGCCTCGGAACTTTCTCACGGCTAATAAAGAGCCGAAGCCTGGCTGGGGACCTCGGCCACGTCACAGAATCACGCCGACCCGACTAACACGTGACAGCCCGCGCCGCCACGAACAAGAACAAACGGACTAGGCTTACTTGCCTCCGAGAAAGAAGTTTGGCGGTTGGGCCTGCGGGACCGCACTGAGCGCGAACCAAAAAGGCAACGGCGAGGAAGAGAGAGGGGAAAGGACAAATGGGCAGGGGCCAGTCGCTGTCCGCCCCCCTCTTCCCCGCCGCAGACCGTTTGAAGGGAAGCTGCCCCCCCTGCAGCAGCAGCGCCGCTCCGATTCGCCGACATACCTATACGACCGCCCTGCGGGCGATAAGGAGGTTGGGGGGGGATCGAGGTCAAATGCCCACCCTGACTGACCTCCAGCCTGCCACCTTGGTCTCATTTCTCTCTTTCTCTCTTTCTCTCTGTCTTTCTCTCTCTCTCTCTGTCTCTCTCTCTCTCTCGCTTTCTATCTCTCGCCCTCTCTCTATCTCTCCCTCTCTATCAGAGTCTCCCTCCACCACAATGATGATCGCGATGACGATGAGATCCCCCTACCTACCTACCCGTCGACCGACCTATCGGTGATTCTCACTGTCGATCCCACTATCGACCTCAAAATCAAAATGAGAACGCCCGCCGCAGGCGCCGAAAAACGATTTGTAGACAACCACAAGACAACCATCGCATACTGGGTAATATTTGTCTATCTCTCTCTCTCTCTCTCTCGTTCTCTCTCTCTCTCTCTTTCTCTCCCCCTCCACCACAATGATGACAGTGACGATGGGTGATGGGTAGGGTGGTGCTGACAGCAGCGATGGCGGTGGCATCTATGATGGATTGGATTGGGTGGATAAGATAAGATGGGACAAGATGGGTTGGATAAGATAAGATGGATTGGATTGGACAAGATGGATTGGATAACATAAGCTGGATTGGATAAGAAAGCCCGCCGCAAGCGCCGAAACCAATGAATTATGAAATTAGCGACATGCGTTAACGCCGGGACGCCCGGGACACCCGGGACACCGCCCGGCCCAACTGGGACACCTCCCAGCCACTGGCGGACGGGAAACGGACTTTCGCTCCTACTGACACCCGGGACACCCGGGACACCGCCCTGCCCAACTGGGACACCTCCCAGCCACCGGCGGACGGGGAACGGACTTTCGCTCCTACTTCGGCCTAGCTACAGGAGGATCACGCGCAGCTTCGCCTCGCCCGCACGCACGACGCGAACACGAAACCGAAACCGATTTCCCGGTGGGGGGTCTCCGTTTCACTGCGATCTCACCCCTCAACCTCCGACACATGCAGCTGCATCGCGGCGCGAGCTACTGAGACCGCTGGACCGACCTCTTCTTGAGCGCACGGCGGATGATGTTGACACAGGAGTATTCGATTCCGAAGGGGGCGATGCGCGCGCAGCGGGCTCGCGCCCTCGCTCTAGTAGATATCGGGGCCAACCAGCACGAATCAATGCCACTGTCAAATATCCCCAGGCCGAGGGCCGAAACCCTCTCCTCTCCCCCCAGATAGATCCGCTGATCCAAGTTAGCACATACATGGCCGATCGCAATCTTATCTTTCATTGGGCGGACCGTGCAGATCCAACCAACTGTTTTGAGCTAGTTGTGTTCTTTTTTGGTCTTGGGGTCAATGAATTTATTGAACTTAAGCAATTGAATTAGTTGAACGTTGCTGGCAAAGTAGGCGAATTGCTCGATACATAATGAACAAATGTTACTGTATCACAGTTGGCGGAGACGGGCGAAGTTGCCGAGGCAACAAGCAAAACTAATTCAAAACAACGAATGTGACAAATTCAACGAATTCGAAAAATGCAACTAATTCAACAATGGGCCATGGCGTGGACCACGAACTCTCATTTTTTTTTGTTGAGCCAGAGTGGTCGTCTCACGTGTGACTGGTTTCGCTCTCTCGTTGCGCATCCCACTTCACACAGTCACTCCGTCGCCGCCGCCGCCGCGGTCACTGCTGCCGTCGTCCACGATGGCCCTCCAGGATCCCCACCGCCCCCACTAGCCATTCCTCCGAATCCAAGACGTCGGCGCCGCCGCTACCAGCGTCGCCGCTGTCGTCCACGCCGGCGGCAACGACGGCGACCAGCGAGCGGCGGTCATCGCCGCCGTCGCCCACGACGTCGTCACCGTCACCGCCGTCGTCTGCGACGCCGTCACCGGCAGAGCGGCGGCGGCGACAGACGATGGACGACGATGAAGAAACGACGACAGACGACTACGACAACGACGAGGACCACGACGTCGTCGACGACGACGGACGACGGCCTCCTGTAAACCATGCGTTGCCGGTGATTGTGCGCTTGAATTCTTGGTCGCGCATGCGTTTCTGGTTTGCGCGTTTTTTAATTATTGGCGGGGGATTGCCAATAATTCTGGCCACGTTGGTCGGGCCTCCGCCGTATGGGTGTTCGGGACGCTTCAGCATATGGAAGGTGATTGAATTATTTGGGTGCGAATCGAAACGTTACATGAGTTAGTTGAATTAGTTGAGTCCGAATATGGGGAGTCATTGAATTAGTTGAATTCGTTGGGTGTGAGTGTGGGAAGTTGTTTAACTAGTTGGGTGCGAATAAGCGAAATGGCTGAATTAGTAGTTGCGGCGCAAGCTGCAAGGGGCATCGGCGGCATCGGGGCCACTCAGGCTGTATCGCTGGGGCCCGAAACCGGGCGAAAACGCCCAATTGTGAAGAGAATGCACCGCCCAGACCTCGGGGGATGGCCTCGCGATGACCCTCCGCGAGGACCCGAGGGCACAGAAGTGGCAGAAGTGCGTCCTCCGCCCCCTTCTGGGGGCCGTCGAGGACCCCGCGCGGCTCCCGGGCCACGGGCTGCAAGGCATGCGGGGAGCACGTGGCCGAGGGCGCGGCGCCCTCGGCACGCCGTCGAGGACCAAAAAACGCTGGGCCTCGAAGCGGTGATCGGTCGCGCGGCAGCGCGCAGAGCAACCGAAGCGCGGCGACCGACAACTGAGCGGCAAACAGAAGCGGGTCCTGCGCACGAGGACATAGCGGCCTTACGCGTTGGCGCACGTGGGCCTCCAGCGTGGCATACCGAGTGGAGAAGAGGGCGCTTACGCGCGACCTTACGCAGGCGACGTGATTACGCGCGCATGGCCGCGCGTTTCTCAATGGACTCGGTTCGCAGACCGCAGAGGCATGTCTCCAGACCTGCCTTTCTCCTTGCTCTCTCGCCAGGCAGGCACATGAGCACCCCATCCCCGCAGGTCAGATTTCTGGAATGCCCGCGGTGGAGTCAGAATTTGAAGGAAGTCTGCAGGCGAGCGAGTCCAACATTGGTGCCTGATACCTTATCGCCGATAGCACACGCAAAAGACATGCTTCAGGGCTCCCGACTTTGAATGCTTGTCTATCCGCGAGCCTCAATCCGCTCCCCAAGGACAGTTATCCAGGATCCACCGTTAACACCCCCCGTGCCCAAGAACGGGTCTGCGAGGCCCGGATTGGACGGCGGCGCATATGAACTAAATGGACCTGAAAAAACATCTGGCAATCCCTGGTCCCCTCCCAGGGTCCATCTGGTACAATTTATGCTCACGTCCGTCTGTCACGGTGTCGGGCCCCCCTGGAGGCCGAAACAAACCAAAAACAATCGATCGAACCCAGAAGCTCGCACCTCGCCCCCCTTCCTGCTCGCCGGAACCAGTGCTGGGCCACCTCAGACCCCCAGCCGACTCCCGAGCAGAGGTCTCCTGAAGCAGCAGGCGGGCGATGGTGTACACCCACGGCTCGCTGGCGAGCGCCACCAGGCGCGCGGTGTGCGTGGCGCGGCCTGCGCACGACGACTCGGCCGCCGACGTCCTCAGCCGTGGCGAGACGTCACCGATGCCGCCGTCGCCGTCGCCGTCGCCGTCGCCGTCGTCGTCGTCGTCGTCGTCGTCGTCGTCTTCGTCGCTCGCCGTCCTGCTGATGTCGCCATCTTCGTTATCGTTGCCGTTATCGTCGTCGCCGCCGTCCGTCGCCGCCCGTACCGGACCCCTCCCAGGGTCCATCCCCACAACACTCGCCGGCCTGCACGCCTCCTCCTCGCTCCCCTCCTCCTCCTCCTCCTCCTCCTCCTCCTCGCCCTCCTCCTCCTCCTCCTCCCCTCCTCCTCCTCCTCCTCCTCCTCCCCCTCCTCCTCCTCCTCCTCCTCCTCCTCCTCCTCCTCCTCCTCCTCCTCCTCCTCCTCCTCCTCCTCTTCCTCCTCCTCCTCCTCCTCCTCCTCCTCCTCCTCCTCCTCGAACTACGTTTGACAGTCCCAGGGGCCGAGGCGGGCATCCAGATGCTGGAATCGAGGAAGCGCCTCCAGCGTGACGGCTTGCTCGTCGGCCCCAGCTCTGTGCAAATTCAAGCCCAAGGCTCCAAACCTCTCCTGGGGCCCATCCTGTCTAATCCTTCGAGCCGCGTCCGGCCGCGACGGCCTAAAATGAGCATCGTTGAATCGATCCCTATCCCCACTGGCGTGGCCTGGGACCCACTGCTCGATATACCCGCCTAGATGGGGATAGGTCGTTGCATCTGGGTTTCGAGGGGCCTATCCCCAACTAGAGGGGTAGTGAGATGGTCGGGCTGAGATACCATGGCCCAGTGTGGATCGTGATAGGCTGCACGATTCTGAAGAAACACCGCCAGCGCCGTCGCCGTCGCCGACGTCCAAGTCGGCCGCCGCCGCCGCCGCCACCGTCGCCGCCAACGGTGCCACCGACGTTGCCGCCGGCGGCGGCGGCCGCAGTGACGACGGTGGCGCGGGTGCTGGCGTCGACTGCGGCGACGGCGCGGGTTTCGCTCAGAGGAGCCCCGCAAGGGACGAAACGCTGGGTGCAGTAATACCGACAAGATGCTGCACCGACGTGCTCTGTTCGTCTAGTTTTCTTTTCTCAACTTGAGCGGCGGCTGCGGCGACGGCGGCGTCGGTGCTGGCGAGAACGCCCGAGCTGACAGGGATAACTCTTGTCTGGGGTAACGGCGGCTTAGACTCCCGACGCACGAAACCAAGAACTACCCCTGACCACGGTGAGTCGGGCCTGGCTATGGACGCCCGAATGGTCCAGGATGCCTCTGGTCTGGGGCGCCGCAAGTCTGGCCACCGAGGCACGGACCAGGGGCTACCCTTCGCCACTGCCGGCCCCGATGAGCTGGGACTCTGCACGGCCGCGGCGGCGACGGCCTGCAGTGCCGCCGTAAGCGCCACCGTCGCTAGCGGCGGCGGCCGCCGGTGCCGACGGCGGCAGCTCCCAGCGCGGCCCCCGCTCCGCAGCGGAGGCGCCGGCGGGCTCCGCCTTGGGGGGTGGGGGCCGCCGCTTGCGTCGTCGTGTGCGCCGCCGACGTCCACGTCGTCGACGGTGCCCCCGCCATCCTTTATAGAGAAACAAACAGCTGCGTAATCATACGGACTGCTTGGATCGGCACTGGATCCCCCTCTCTGGCGCGCGGAGCGCGCCAGGGACGGCGCCGGAGGCGCCGCCAGGGGGCCCAGCGCCGATACAAGAAATCCGCGCGGAGCTCCAAATATTATGTAACTGCAAGTTTCCTTACGGGAGTCCTGGTGGTCGTCGTCAAGGTGGACACCGTTGTTGTCGAGTTCGACGTTGGATTCGAAACCAGCGTCGTCGTGGCCGTCGCCGCCGCCGTTGTTGTCGTCGTCGTGGCCGTCGTGGTCGTCGTCGTTGTCGTCAACGTCGGTGTCGCCGTCGTCGCCGTCGTGTGGTCGCCGTCGACGTCGTGGTCGTCACACGTCGGCCTCCTCGAGGCACGCCGTCATCCTCCTCCTCCTCCTCCTCCTCCTCCTGGGCAGGAGGGTCATGAGGAGGGGAGGGCAGGAGCACGGAGGGAGTGGGAGAAGGGAGAACAAGGAGAGAGGAGGGGAGGAAGGGGCAGGGGGTGGGAGACGGGAGGACGGCGGGGACGATGCCCCCGTTCCCGCGGTCGACGGCAGCGACGGTCGCGAGGCTGTCGACGATGCAATCGACGACCATGGAGCACGACGATGACAGCGGTCGACGACGACGGTCGCGAGGCGAGCGACGAGGCGGTTGGTGACGACGGACGGCGGTCGACGACGGCAGCGGCAAAGAAGGAAAGGCCATGACATAACCAGGCCTGCAGCAGCTCCTCCAAGGGCCTGAAGCTGCCCCCCATCGCCCCCCCGCGCTCCTGAGGGGTGAGCGATCTCTTGGAGGCTTGGAAGTGGGCACCGACACCAAAACAGGAGGGTGCACCCAACGGGGGAGGACGATCCTAGATTTCGATGTTGATGGTAATAGTTCGGCCACCTGGAGAGCCCGAAGATTACCACCATCACCGAGATCGGGATGGTCTTCCCTCGGTGGAGGTCCTCCGCCGATGTTGGTCTGGGTGCCAGACTCCAGGCCTCCGAATCTCGGGGGGAGCAGCCCACGGATCGGCGGCACGCCCAAAGGGGGAGAATGAAAGGGGCCAGGCCTTCTCACGCCGCCGGGACTGCCCAGAAGCCCCCGAGCCTTCTAAGAAGGCGTCGGTGCTATCGGAGACGGCTGGGAAAGCTGCTCAAAAGGCCAAGTGCCTTCTGAGCCTTCTGAGAAGGACGGCTCGCCCCCTCTGCCTTCCCCCTGGGCGCCCCGCCGAGGGAAAGATCCCAGCTCCAGCGCAATCGGGCAGCCTAGTCACCCAGGAGAGGAGGGAGAAGGGGGAGGTTGTGACGCACTTTGGAGGCTTTCTTGACCTCGGGGGCAGATGGTACGGATCGGAGCCCACAATGCCGTGCTCGACGATATGGACCCCCCTGATGCCTGCCCATCAAACTTCGCCCGTCATCGGCGCACTTCGGCGGGCTTCGGCGGTCATCGGTGGTCTCTGGCGGTATTCTGCGCCTAGGGTGCATGTTGAGTACACTGCACAAAGGTACATGATCTGATCAAGCACCGACGTAACGGCCCCAAGGGTAGAAGGGCTCAAAAGAGAAGACACACGAGAAGGCCTGTCACCACCGGGCCTCCGCACTGGGACCTGTGGAGGCCTGCTGCTGCTGGATGCTTTCCCGCTTTCTGCGGGTGTTCCCTCCCTCTGAACTCCCTGGATGATGGGCCTGTTTACCACCACCACCATAAGTTGGAGGGGGAAGGAGGTGAAGGATGAGGAGGAGGAGGACGAGGAGGAGGAGGAGGAGGACCCCCTCCCCCTCCAACTTATGGTGGTGGTGGAAAACAGGCCCATCCCTGGACCCTCCCTCCAGCCCTCACGAGCCCCGCCCTCACGAGCCGCGCGGATCCGCGGCTGAAGGAGCAGGCTTGGCCCAATGCTCGCGCGAACGCGACAGAGGGCCGGAAGGCGGAAGGCAAGACAGCTGAGAAGGGGCGGCGAGGCGGAGGCGTTCGCCACGCAACCCGACTCCCGCAGAACACAATGAAGAAGCCCATCATTTCCTCCTCCTCCTCGTCCTCCTCCTCCTCGTCCTGCTCCTCCTCCTCCACCTCCTCCTCCTCCGCGTCCTATTGTTGAATTTGTCCATATTTATAATGTTGTTGTGACTCTGACTCGAGGGCCCACGGGGGAATGCAACCTGTGCAGCTGTCGCCACTTTCGTAGGATGCTGGGAAGTCCAGCGGAGTGGTGTCTTACACACATCAAGACTAGACCTCGGGGCTCCCTGGTCCCCTGGGGGGCTGCCACTTGCGCAAGCATCGCCACTCTCGTGAGATCCTTGGAGGTCCAACGGAATGGCCTCTTATGCACATCCAGACTGGCCTCGCGGCTCCCTGGGGGGCTGCCGGCTCCCTGGTGGGAAGCCACCTGCGCAACCGTCGTGAGCTCATGGGAGGTCCAGCAGAGCGGTGTCTTTCGCATCCAGACTTGGCTTCGCAGCTCCCTGGGGGGCTGTTTCCTGCGAAACTGTCGCTACTTTCGTGGGCAGCTGGAATGTCCCGCAGATGTGTGTCTCACGCGCATCGAGACCTCGTGGCTGCCAGGGGGGCTGCCACCAGCGCAACTGCCGCCACTGTTCGGCGCTTACATACTCCCCTGCGCCTGCTATCGTCGCATTGTAGCTGATCCGTACCTGAACCGCCTGCGGCTCAAAACCCATCCAGGGCCACCGTGCTCGGCGTCGTCGCTCGCGAGGCGCCCGGCGAGATGGAAGGCGCAGCGAGTCCTGCTGTGTCGGGGCCGCCGCGGAGCCCGAAGCGGAAAATAAGACCGCCAGGCCATTCGCTGTGCTGGAGGAGACGTGCAACCTTTTGCCTGGGCGCGCGCACAAGAGCGAGGAGGAGCCAGTCCTGCTTTTATAAAACGGTCGCGGCACTCTTGATTTCCTGGGTTGTTGGGGCCTGGCGCCCCGATTCCGCACAGGAAACGGTAGGAACGCGTCTCTTTATGTTCGGCGATGACGGGCGTCAGGGGGGGGGGGGGGGGCGAAAGCGGGGTATGACGTAACGCCCCCCCCACCGTGTGGCTCCGGCACCGCAGCCGCGCCCGCGCGCGCGACGCGACGAGCGACGAGCGACGACGACGACGACGACGACGACGACGACGACGACGACGACGACGACGACCACGACCACGACCACGACGATCGCGACGACGACGACGTCGACGACGCGAGCAGCATGTAAGTGGCGATATGCCCCACTGCACCTGTGTACGCCACAACGCTCGCGTGCACCACAGCGCGCGTGTATACCACAGCGCCTGCGTACACCGCAACAACCGTGTGCAACGCAGCGCCTGTGTACACCACAATGCTTGCGTACACTGCAGCACAGGCGTACAAGTGCACACCGCAGCTACCTTGTGCAACACAGCGCCTGTGTACACCAGAATGCTTGCGTGCACCGCAGCGCCCGGGCACGCCACAACGCGTGCCTACACCGCAGCATCCGCGTGCAACGCAGCGCTGGTGTACACCACAATGCCTGCGTGCACAGGACAAATAGAAGGATCATGTACGTGAGGATCTGCTGCAGACAACTAGACGCCAAGCCAGGAAATTGCTGATAATCGAATGCGGCGATCTTCCCTCCTCCCTCCTCCTCCTCCTCCTCCTCCTCCTCCTCCTCCTCCTCCTCCTCCTCCTCCTCCTCCCCCTCCACCTCTTCATCTTTACCCCCTGTCGTGCGGGTTGGCGCTACAGCGCGCGTGCGCATCTCAACGCGCACCGCAGAATGGTCTATTGAATCGGTCCATTTGGTTCTCGGACGGCCAATCTAGCTGGAACCTCCTGGACGCGGGCGGACTCGGGAGGACACGTAGATTCCAGCGGCGCTCCGTTGTCCATAAGGCTTATTTGATGGTGTTTGCCGTGGAATCCACAAGCGCTCCATTTTGTCATAAGGATTCGTTTTCACATTCTATATACGACAGTGGTGTTGCGTTACACACGGTTGCTGTGGTGCACACGGGCGCCACGGTGTACACAGGCACTGCAATGCACGCAGGCAATGTGGTGTATACTGGTGTTGTGTCGCACACGGCTGATGTGGTGAACGCAGCCGCTGTTGTGTGCACAAGAACTGTTGTGCCCGCAGGCACGGTGGCGCAAACTGACGCTGTGTTGCACGCGGCTGCTGTGGTGTACATAGGCGGTGGTGTACACAGGCGCGGTGGTGCACGCAGGAACTGTGATGTACACAGGCGTTGTGGTGCAAATCGCCACCTACATGCTGGCGCTACCCGTCCTCCGTCAGTCCTAAGCATTCCCAAACGCCGCCGGCGCGAAACGTGACGCCATCGATCCCTTCCATCCCCCCCTAGATGATTGCCGTCAGCGGCCCGGAATAAAAAACAGGCTTCAGCCGCGTTCGCGCGCACGACGACTATGAGCGACGAGCGACAAGCCACGAGCGACGACGACGACGACGACGACTGCGGACCAGACTCCTATGCGGATTCCTACGCGGACACCTACGCGCACAGCGGCAGTGCTCGGAGCGCACTGGGGGGCAGTGCCCGGAGCGCACTGGAAGGGGAAGCGTTGCGTCATAGAGGGGGGCTGGGGGCCATGACGCCCGTCATGGCCCAAGCAAAAAAGAAACGGGCTCTAATTGATGAAGGCTGGACGGCACATGTTTACACTGCGCTCCCCTGAAGGGGTCTGCCAAGTGCGCAACGCTCGGCGCTTTCGTGAACTACAGGGTGGTCCAACGGACCAACGTGTTACGCACATCCAGACAAAACCTCGCGCTCCCCCGCGAGACTGCCACCTTTGCAATTGCCAACATGTTCAGGGGCTCCTGGGTGGTCGGGCGGAGCTACGTCTTATGCGCACCAAGACGGGAACTCGCGCTCCCTGGGTGGGGATGCCAACCACGCAACTTGCGCCATTGTCTTGTGCTCCACGACTTCCCTGGCTCCCGTCCGCGTCCTATCATACAGGTCCCATGAGCGTGCAAGACATGGTCGTCATGTGGAGCTTCCTGGAAGGACCGCATCCATCGTCGAATGTGCATTCGTTTTGTACGGGCCTTGTGATGGTGAGGCTTGTTGCACATGCATTGGGAACGTTCCTGGAAATGCTCTGCTCATACTCTCGCCCGCCCGCCCTCTGTAATTGCGCATCACGCATCACACGATACGGCCCCTTTGGCGACCCAGGTCCCCCAGAACAGTCCCAGTCGGCGGACAAGACAGAATTCAGCGCAACGGGTAAGCATGGGCGGGGGGGGGGCTGCCACACATGCCGTGGGTGCATCTAGCTTGTCCCTCCGCTCCGAGAGAGCCCAGAATCTAATCGAGAAAGCGGATCGGCGATCGAAAGGAATCGGATCGGCGGAAATCGGCAGTCAACTCCGGGGAACGCGAATCGGCGGAACTGAGCAGGCTGCTAGCTGATCAGGCCTCCATGGAACAAAATCGTGATCCGCATCCGAATTCGACGACGAATCGAATCGGAACACATCGAAATCGCATCGAATCGGGGCGGTGGAGTCGTGCCCTGTAGCCCTCGCCCACCCCCCCCCTGCCTCCACCCCCGTCGGCACGCCCCGTTTCGGGCGGCCTCCCCGGTCAAGGCCGGTCGGATCGGCCATCGGTTCGCCTCGGGACAACGCCTCGGGCTCGGCGTGGGGGCGTCGCGGCGCGCGCGCGCAGCGGCAGTGCGCGCGGCGGCGGGGCGCGCAGCGCCGCGGCGGGCGGCGCCTCCGCCCCCGCGCACTGGAGGGTGCGCGCCA